AGATATTTCAAAAAAATATCTGTTAGGCTCATAGATCAAGAATTAATTAGTGCTAATTATCGCTAACTAGAATTGATAGTGCAGTTTAGATTTTTGTTTGCAAATCAACGGTTCTTTAAAAACGGTCGAAGAAACGAATCAGCTCATGAAGGGTTGACTGATTTGAATCGAAACTGATGATTTCTCACCAGTTTTCGCAAATCTAAAAATCACAGTTCCTATGCTAGTTCCCAACATTTGTGTTTCTGTTTTCGTATATTTACTATTAGTTGTTCTATATAGATTGTCAACAAATATGACAATACCGTATTATTTATTTCTATGACAGTTTTTTGCAACTTCAACGACAATTGATAAATGGATCCTTTTTTTTTTCAGTCAATTCGCTCAAACACGTTGTTAAAAGTTCATTTAATGTAAGTTGTCATCTTATTGGTTGTAAAACTTGGTGAAATGCAATAGATAATCGCTGTTTTCTCAATTGTTTCATTATTATTATTATTTATTAATTTATCTTTTATACGTTTTTGTATCATGCAACCGTTATTTTTTTAATTTTAATAGATGTGCTAAAACTCTTGGTTGCATGATCAACACATTCTTCTTTATGAACTGTATGTTTAATTGTATGGCCATTATTATCATACGCGTCATCTTGTTCAACAACATCAGTATTTTTAATGAAGACAACATTAATATACATCTTTCTTGTTTTTCTTGTGATTCATGTTAGCTATTATCTCCAGCTGCTAGTCTTATTTGTTTATTAATATTAACTATTGTAGATACTTTTCATAGACAAGTTGTAAACTTAATTACGGCTAACGTAAGTTGATGAACTGTATCTTGCATACATACATAGAGTCATCCAAACGTTCTCGGAACTGTTAAAGCATTATCCAAGGAAAACAGATTCGATTTATCAATGTATCGCAAACGCTGGAGGTCATCAACACGATGTTCGATACAAATTTGCATCCTCTAAATCCGCTTTTGAAAAGTCGCGTTTGCGGTACATTGATAAATCAAATCTGTTTTCCTTGGATAATGCTTTAACATTTCCGAGAACTTTTGGACCATCCTGTGTATAATATTAAACGATCTATCGTTTCCAGTATGCCAGGTTTTTCGATAGCGAACAAAGACACTATGCATCCAAATTCCATCTGTCCTATATGTACTAATCTAATAAGAGATCCAATTCAGATAGAATGTGGATGTAGAATGTGCCATTCTTGCCACCAAGACATTGAGTAAGTCAGCAGATCATACTTCAACAACGTCCCACAGAATCCAAGATTTTTGACCCGCTCACCCTCTGTTCGCTTAGATCCTTCTTCTTCGCTTTCTCCTCTACAAATGCGACATCCGGTTACCAGACTTTTCTGTAACTACTTTTTGCTTTTCACTCGTAAACCCAATTCTAAGTTTATTTTATTTGCTAATGTTTCCAAATCAACGGGGCTGTTTATCACGGCAATAAACGAAACAAAATATCGAGAAATTGCATTTTGAAACAGATAGAAATAAAGAAGCATAAAGTTAGAGCGTTTCTATTACTTCGAATAGAAACGCTCTAACTTTATGCTTCTTTATTTCTATCTGCGAGTTCAGTTCTTGTAATTGACTATCTGTACGTACGAGATGCGCAGTCGTTTTCTGCTTGGAATATGGTCAGTTACGGATAATTGATAGTGCTAATTCTGAGTATGATACCCCGTTGTTCTTATAGAGTTTTTCTGGAAGGAAAGGTTAGAAGCGTTTTCCCACAAGTCCTAAAATGCACCAGCGAATGCACAGCGTTTTCTCTCAAAATTATTTTTTTCATTCTCGGCTATTTTGTATGTCTCAAATTTCGCCGTCGTGGAATGTCCTTAAAGGCTCAGGTTAGTTTCCCAATTGTTCAATTTTGCTCAAATTTCCAACAGAAATTCCAGAGAAAGTTTTTTGAAAATCTTTCGGAGAATTTTTGTGGTTTTGACCACTTATGCAAAATCAATAGCACAAATATTCGAAAACGGGTCATTGTTAATCTCTAGCCACATATATTACCTTCACCTTGAAACCAACACTAGCTCTGTGGCACGTACCTGGGAGAAAACATTTGGGAAATACGAATAGCCCCATTTTGACCAGATCATATTTTCGAGGGTCGTCATTTGACTGGATGAGAACTAGAGTTTTCCAGAATACCCATACAAGAACATGTCAGAAGATTCTGGACAAAAATACATCGAGTTTCTTTGTCACTGTTCTATCTCTCGTATAAATTTGAACTCAATCAGACACGTGCTTTACATTTGAGAACAAGGTGAGAGAAAAGAGCGGGGCGTACCATTAACGCAGTTTATTACTTGTTGTCTGGGTGATTGTGTGTTTGTTTTGTTCTGAGCTTTGACGGCAACTCAAACCATTCGACACGATTCATTGCTGTCGGCGTTTCTTCAAAAAGATATTTTGCTCGTCGATATAACTTCCTTTCCATCGTACCACGCCGCACACTCACAATAAAGAAGATTCTATCCTACAGCAAATTCGTCTTCAATTGACTTATCATTTAAATTTGTCAATTCATTGTGAGACCGTGAAAGTGGTGTTGGATCTCTTTTTAATTCCCTCGTAGCCACCACAATAAAGCAGCAAAACTTCATGATAAAAAACATTGGAATTTTAAACAATTCTCTGATCATCTGGAGTTGATTGCCTTTCGTATCCTTTCTGCCGGATTTTCTTTGGCTGTTCGCATACCGCCTCAGTCACGATACTCTTTATGGATGCTCCCTAACTTGTGAAATCATTTCTTTTGTTTTGAGACTCATTTCATATGAAAGATTTTTCGTTTAGAACTAAGGCAAACTTCTATTGTCAATCATGTCAAAAAGTCATTTCAGCCAGTCATGTAAGAATTTTAACTTTTTGATTGTTTTGTCTTATGAGAAGAATTAACCAGTACGTTTAAGGTCATGCTCGATACGGGATTCAAAAAAGACTTGGACATCTTAATGGTGATGTGCATTGAAAGACAAAATAATTGCGAATGGAGGGGATCATTAAAAGATTATCAGGTAAGTACAGATGTTTGAATGCGTAAGAAAAAGCAGTTTAGAGGTCAAGAGGTTTTGTAAAAGACTAAAAACCTTTTTTGTGGTCATGAGACAAACATAGTCTTAATCTCTAAAAATATCAATTCTCAACACATAGGAATAAAAGGTGATTTCACAAGACATTATGAGTACTAAAATGAAGACAACTCAGTTTTTAAAAAGTGAAGCTGATATCTAAAACTTTTTTCTTGAACTTAAGGCTTTTCATCACTCTTATCTTAACATTTTCCATAAAAGTATTGTATTCGTTCTCTTGGAGGCTTCTTTGTTTCATTACACCTAGTTGCTAGCCCATTCTGCTTTTTTCCTTTCTGGTTTCTGTATTTGATATAAACACTATGAATGATGTCATTATCTTTTTCAAATGAAAGACACATTTTCTACACTTTTTTCACACATTATGCCAAAGAGAGAAGTGTGCCAAAATAATGATGAGCATAGTTCGTACCATTGTATAATATAATGTGGTGCGGCTTGTAGAAGCAGAACGAGTCCAGCTGATTGTTTATGTTTACTAGTCCAAGCGGTGGCAGGATACATTGCATACTCATTAACCAAATTTAGATCAAATGGTTCAAACTTATTCTTGTAAAAGAAAAATCAATCGGTGGCCGATGAGTTTCTTTTTCAATATGACTGATGTGGCTGGTATTGCAGCTTATGTTCTACGGATGACTTAAAATACTCAGTGGAACGACACCAAGCCATACCGTCGACGGTTGTTCCTACAACAACTTGGCCGCAGCCTTGTTGATCCACATTTGAATCAACGTTGTCAGAATCCGTATGCAGTTCAGCGAAACGTTCGACTGACTATGCAGAGCCTAGGACTTTCAATTACTAGTCCAATAACCACTCGAACTGGAGTGAGTGGACAGCAACGTTGTCATGTTTGCTCGAGAGTGCGCGATAGAAAAGTTGCTACGCGATGTTCTACCTGTCATTTTCCTTGTTGTCCTGATCATCATAAAATCATTTGGAATTCTTGTTTCTAATCGTTTGATGGAGATAAGAAAAATAAGATGAAATAAAAAAGTCACGAGATTATAGTACGAAAAGATGGTGTTCTTTGGAATCTATTTCAAATAATCTTCTGCAAATATTACTCATATTTACTGCACAGATTGATGAAAAAGTTTTCTCTTTATACTCGAAAATTGAGCTGGTACGGATCCCATTCGAGTAAAAGTGTAGCAGTCAATAGGTGCTAAAATGAGGGTTAAGCAAAGTAATCACCAAAAGTTGCACGGGTATACGTTGTTTTTGATGCTTTGTTGTATTATGTATGCTGTATCATTTAACAGAAGGACAAATTAAAAAAACAGATTATTTCTTCATGCTTTTTATAGCAATCTTCACAGTTCGTATTCACGATGAAGCACAAAAACGCAGATCTCATGCCCTAGACTTTACGGTCTCTGTATCTTAGCCTTGACATTCATTGCAGACTGTTCTGGTTTATCAGGTGAGAAACGTTTGTACCCTGTCCTCATCTGTCAGTTGTCACATCAAAAACAAATGGCAGCTATACGCTTTCTTCGCGAACTAATGGTGCATGGAGACATTTTCAGGCATATCAGAAGCTGTTCTGCTGATATGTTTGAATAAAGAATTTAGTATGAGCTTTAGTGCAGTGAGACTCAATTTGTTGTTTATAATCTGTTTTTCTCTTGTCTTCAGGATCATTTCGATAAATGTCATAGAACTTATAACTGCTCACTTTGTGAAGAGACATTTTCAGTGTCACATCTACTGAAAACGCACACAAAAGTGTGCAGAAAAACAGTTGTTCAATGCCCACTAACACGTTATGGATGCGACGATAGTGGAGCAACAACTGAGAGCTATATAATTCATTCTGAAAGCGTTGATCAGAGGTCAATAGTACACAAGCAAATGAATGAGCTGTACGTGGAAATAAAGTTATGCAGTGAAACATTAACAACGTTAACGCAAGGTGCGCTAACATTAGAAAATGATTCAGCTAGACTAACTAGTGAAGGGTTAAAAAATATAAATATAATTCAAGCAATATTTACAGAATTGAATCTACTAAAAAAAGTAGTAAAAGAAAAGGGTGCTTTTGTTAACAGTATACCTCAAACTCAGAAATTATTACAGCAAGTATCGAGCATCAGAGAAAAGGTAGAAAATTTACAAGCTGTATCAAATGACGATACTCTTCTATGGAAAATAACTGAAGTATCAAAAAAAATGGATGATGCTCAAAGTGAAAGGCAAACTTCGATTTTCAGTCAACCGTTCTACAGTTCACCTACTGGTTATAAAATGCGGATGAGACTCTGTCTATATGGCGATGGCAACGCCCGTAGTACTCACATATCATTGTTTTTTCTATTAATGCAAGGCGAATATGATTCTCTAGTAAAGTGGCCTTTCAACTTTAAAGTCACATTTTGCCTCTATGATCAGTCAGGACAGAATTGTCATGTTGTGAATTCCTTCCAACCAGATATTACGTTGAATAGTTTTCAACGACCATCGTCCGACATGAATATCGGCAGTGGACTTCCGCAATTTTTCCCGCTGCAACTGATTATGCAGGCGGCAAGTAATTACGTCAAAGATGATATCATATTTATCAAATGTATTGTTGATTTTTCTAATTTGCCGAATCTGCTTCTAACATATACATTAAGTCTGAATCCCGGACTTCCTAAATATCTGCAAGAGTCAACTGTTCAAAATGAAATCCAAAGACGACAACAAGATGCTGGCGATACAACTATTCTTAATCCTCCTCCGACAGGAACAAACCCATATGGATAAGTTCGAATGATCCTTCAATTCGTCTGCCAGTCCGAGCAGGGTATACAAGACCTCCATAGAATTAATTCAGACAACTTACTGAAACTAATGTGTGATACACAGTAAAAAATATTGTGTCGCAGCTCCTGTGAGAAAATTGTGGCGCAGAAGAATGTGTCGCATAATTGTGTTGCTGTTACTAAGAACTTTCGGACACAGTTCTTCAGGTCATTTCAGGATCTGCTCTCATCAAAAGATTGCTAAATTTTATGTTTTAATAACGGGTGATCCAAGATAAATTGCACTAAATTCTGATGCATTTTTCTCTCATTTTTCATCTATGAAAAATATGCCCTAATATACCAAAAGATAGAGAATTTCAAGTTCTACAAAACTGTTGAGTTT